TAACAAGGTGAGTAAATGACAAGATGGCAGGTAACGTGGTGACAACGTGACAGTGTGATAGGGAGGTAAAATAGCAAAATAGGAAGACGACAAGGTAACAAATGACAAACTGGAAAAATAGTAATCATAGCATGTCAATGTGACGAAATGGCAAGATGACAAGCTAACAGAGCGACAGATTGACAACATGATAGTCGCCATTACTCCACACCGTCTGTGTTTGATTAAAAACCAAATTCCTAAAGGTCCCGTAACGAAACCCTTTACCTTCGAGCCCATTAAACAGTGTCCCGTATACTCTGCGATCGTTCGAATAATAAAACATCGATGTTCGCCGTTAATTCGTAGAGCCTTCTTCAAAGGAAAGTGATTTCAGGGTCAGAAAAATGGAAACCGGAGATTATACAAAGCGGCACGCGGAAAGCTTTCACGGATCATTCGGCTCGATCGATCGTGGATAATTTAAAAACCACCCCATGCAGAAGTCGCTCGGGAAAAAATAAAAGACGAAGGGGCGAGGGGGCAGGTAGAGGAGAGATTCCTCACTTTTCGTCGAAACTCGATAGCCAAAATATTGAATTTCCGTCGAAAAGGGAGGATGGACGGTGCCCCTCGAAATCGGGGATGCAAGAGGTCGCACGACGAAGAGGGTGACTCTCACCGCCTTCCCCTTTATTCCTCACACGCGTCCCTCTTCTTGGTTTTCGTTGCGCGGCACGAGGGTGAGCGACGACAACCACGAGTTCCCTACGAGTTACTCAAGAAATCCCGCGGCGAGGCTCGATTCTAATCGATCCTTTGATTCCCCGTTTTAACTCTGCCCCGCGGGCACACCTTAACGAAGACGTTGCCCTCTGGTTGCCCTAGCGACGATGCGTCGCGTTTTTCTTTTTTTGGGAACGTTTCCTCTTTTATTGACGTCTATCGCGCGGCCTGTGGGAATTCTGGCAATTTTCGGCCCATTAACGAACGTGGTTCCAATCTGTGAGCGTTAGTTTCTATTTCTAGTTAAAGGTTTTCAAAAGGTTAGTTCTACAGTGACGTTACCCTTTAAAATATGAATTCGTCACAAAATAGCTTTTTGCTTGCGACAACAACTTATATATCCCTGCACGCATCGCCACGAAATCAGGATTCATCAGGTTTCTATAATTCGATGAAACGACGCCAAAACTCGAGTAGGAGGGACGGAACGTGCGAAAGAGAGCAAAGCAATGATCGTTAGCCTCGATACGTCGGACGTGAACGAGGAACCCTCGAAGAGGGACGCGAGGAGAGGGCGTGCAGCCGGGAACTGGCCGCAGCTTCCGGTTCGCTGGCACATAATTTCGTTACTTTTCACGAAATTGGATTAAGGGGTTCGTTAAGGGCGTATTAGCGCACGTTAGCGCGCTACACGATGACCCCGAACCGAATTACATTGTGGCGTTTGGTCAACTCTCAATGGGCCACGACCGGTCGCCCCGCTGCGTTCCGGAAATACCGCAGATTTCCACGTTTCCCTACTTTTCAATGTCTCGTTTTCCGCGGGAACGTCGACGGGAGTCCTCGAGACAACGATGCTTTGCCAAAGGTGAGAACCGACGCTCGAAATGGGGACTTGCGATTCAGAAAATCTCACCCCACCTTGCATCGATGCTTTCTTATGCAAGGCGCAGGGGCAGTGGCGAAACGTCGAACGGACATGAGCAAAATATTAGGTTGTCCGGAAAGTTCGTGCCAATTTCTAAGAAAAATTCAAAAACCCGTTTGAATTTTAATATATATATATATTTATTGAATTACATAGGTGCCATTTTGTTCCACAAAATGTTGCACCTTTCCACCTTTTAAGGGATGTATGGATGTTATTTATTTTCAACCACTTCGATATTATTCAGACCTGTATCACCTACCAAAAATCGACATGGACTTTCCGGACAACTCAATATTATTTTATTACAAATACTATGAAGAAACATGAAAGGAGAGCGAGTGATTTTGATTTATAATGGTGCCAAGTCGAATATTATTCGTCGTGCTTTATATTATTTTCAAATTGTAATTCTAATTATTTCAAACAGTACGAGGAAAAATAATAACAGTACGACCTAAAGAAAAATTCGTTCAAACCTGAAAATAAAACAGTGATCATTTTTTTTTATTAAATTGTATACAATTTCAACCCTCCTCGCGCCTACATAAATAAATACTACTCGAACC